GATGCGAGCCGCCATTGTTGTTGGAATCTCACGGTCGCTTCTCCACTCCAGGACACACCCGCCCTGCGTCCTGATTGGACAGACCATAAATTCGGTTGGGAAAACCACTTTCAATGAGCGAGTTCCCAGATGTATGTGAGTGGAGCTGGGCGGAGCAAGACATGCATCTGGCTGTTGTCAGGTTAGAGAACGGGAGCTCGCAGCATAAATCTGGGTCAATTTAGAACAGATGCGTGCCTGTGACGTCACCACATGCTCGGCTCGTCTGAAGCTGCCTTTCTCCTCCTGTTATTAGCAGTCTCTAGATAATAATTAATTCTGACTTTTTTCATTTAGTGGGGGAATAATAGTTAACACAGTCAGATAAACACTAATCAGATAAACACTAATCAAACATTTTGCCAAATAAAACAAAAAAATCGCCATCATAGCCAGCGGTCCTTCACACGGGGCTATGCTGAGAGAGGGCTGCTGGAGACGGGCTGCGGTTAGACCTGGCTGCAGTTATCCCGGAACTCTGCTGATTGCAGCATTCTTCTCAACTTAGGAATTTTTTTTTTTTAATTACGCATTAAATCTGTGAATGGGCCATATGGTGATGCTTAAAAGTATAATGTTCTCGCCTCAAATAATCTTAAAACGCACTTTTATTGAACACCAGCAACAGAAAAGAGAACATTTAACTTAATACTCTAAGCTGTGTGAGTTAAGAAGATGAGCCGCCAACCAATGAGCAGAAGTTGACTCTCTAGGACACACCCCCTCCTCATTTGCATAAAGAGGCAGAAATGCATACAGAAATGTAAAAAGGGCAGGCAGAAATAAATAGCGGCGAAGAAACTAGGGTAAAAAAATACAAAGGAAGAATAAAACATAAAAAAATATTATAACATGCACATAAATAAATACTTAAAAATATAAGTAATTAAAAAATAAAGTTGAAGATTATAAAGGACGAAAAAATAAAATAAGGTAAACATTACAAAGGCAAATAAATAAAGAAGCTAATTAAAAGAGTTATACACATTTATGTCTCACTGTATAATATAATTTCTACTTACATTTATTTGTTTTTTATATTTTTGGTGGCAATTAATTGTATGGTTATTTATTTATTGAGCATTTATTTATTTCTGTATTTATTTTTATATATGGCAGAGTCAGTCCTCCATAGAGCTCAGGTGACGGCGGTAGCGTCCCAACAAGTACCAGTTAGGCTGGTGACATCACAGACTTTACTCTCCTAGTGACATCAGAGCTCAAATGAAAACCCAGAAGGCCAGCTGAGGTCATACAGAATAAGACGGAACCTGTAGAGCTCAGGCCTGGGCATAAGGAGGACACTAGATCAGTCAAAAATCTGGCAGAGAATTTAAAAGGAGCTGTAAACGACAACAAGGTGTGAGGCTGACTGCAGCGGATCAGAGGATGAAACACTCAGAAGAAAAACAGAAAGCACCAATAGAGAGGAACTGGAAGAAAACAGCCTTCCAGTTTTTGCCTCTTATAAACTATCTGTATTTGGGGAGTTCTTAGCTGAGGCTGCAGGTCTCTGTGAAACGACAGAAAATGCAGAGAAATGTCTGATTTTCTTCACCAACAGCTCTTTGTTGCTCAGTGAACGCACAATGAAGAGGAATGCCTCTGGCAGAATCCCACCCGCCGAAGACGCACAAGCGACACAATCTTTTATCACTGGAGCAGCACAGAGTGATCCCTTTACCACAATGTCCTGTAATAATGTCCTGGTTGCTGATGCAATCAGCTGGTTTTCCTTACAAAACTCTCAGTCAATCTGACTGGATTATTTGCTTGAATTGTTTCTATAAAGTGACCTAAGATGCCATGATGTGAATTGGAGCTATAGAAATAAACTGAAATAAATTAAATTGCCAATCATAGCATAAAACAGTGTAGAAGCAAAACATAGAACAGCTAACAATGTAGAAATAGACACTGTACATTATTGCAGCTTTGGTACAAATGATTCTGCTATCCTATAATTTGTATTGTGCATATTTAGGGCCAATACTTTTTTTTATTCATTATTATCTTCTAAACAGTGAGAGACACAATAATTCAGTTAAAGGTATGTAATAATGTTAATTTATTAGACTGTTATTTATTGTTAGTGAATGAGCAGCTGAACCAAACACCTGCCTGATGAACCTTTGTAGAATAATAAGTTTTATCTTCTGCAGTTGATGCTACTTTACTGCAACTTCTGTAGAACTGAACCATCTACCTGACTCCCAGGTGGTGCAGTACCTGGCCGGCTGTGGGCTGCAGAGCTGCGTGATGCTGCTGCACAAAGGATACCCAGATATCGGCTGGAACCCCGTGGAGGGGGAGCGCTATCTGGATTTTCTGCGTTTTGCAGTCTTCTGCAACGGTAAAAAGCAAAAACTTTTTATTCTCAGGCAACATTACTCTTGGTATTTGCCTCCCTAACTCCTCCCTCTTTATGTGAGCAGGGGAGAGCGTGGAAGAGAACGCCAACGTTGTGGTGAGGCTCCTTATTCGCCGACCCGAGTGTTTTGGCCCTGCTCTTCGCGGTGAAGGCGGTGACGGGTTGCTCGCAGCGATGGAGGAAGCCATTAGAATCTCTCAGGATTCGTCCAGAGATGGTCCGTCTCCGGTGTCTGAGAGCAGCAGAACGCTGTAAGAATATAAGGAGGCCAAATTCAAGCTCAATTTAAAACAAACTCTATTTAAAATCAATTAACAAAAAACATTCAAAACACATTTCAGTTAAAAGCTCTTTCCCAAACTAATTAGCTACCAACGAAGAAGAAATGAAACTGGTTAAAATAACCCATAATCAATGAAGTGATGCTGATAAGTTTGACATCCAAACTTTACAGGGTTTATACAGGAATGAGTAACTCTAATTTAATGCTTTTTAATGCTCTTTTCACTGCAAAACCGATTTAGAAATAAGTACAAAATTCTTAAATCAAGTGTATTTCCCCTTAATTTGAGCAGCTAAATAAGAAACAAAGCGAAATCCTTCGTCATCTTTACCGTCGACAGGCTGCAGCCATGTCCCAAATTCCTGGTTTTCCAACCACTTTTATAATAATAATAATCTGATGAAATTATCATTTATAAATTGTTTAACGTTTTTTTTATAATAATATTAATAGAATAATGTCAGGTCTAAGCACCTAAAACATCATACATACATACAAGGAAAGAAAAAGGCACAGAGACAATTAATTTAGTTACTCGCAGAGAGAGTAGGAAGAGACTGCAAGTTTACAATCTCCAACCCACTCTCCAGTCTTCAGCTTTCTCTTCGCTATTTATTGAAGAAAAGGGGATGTCCCTAATTACACCAGTTGAGGTTTAACTAAGGGAAAGGGAAACAAAAGGATCTTACTTTAAACCTCAGCTCATATTTTAAAACAAAGCATGTGGTTGTTTTACAATTGAATTGTTCCAAGAACACGTTTAGAAGAAACATGTGATAGAGGATGTTCAGGCCTCTTTAACAACCCGTCCGTTGCATGACCTTTATCTGGAACGATCGTAAGCAAGAGTTAATAAAAGGTGAATCACACATTATACATCATAATAGCTCATTAGAACACAACCCATGAAACACAAACAAAGTAAGAGTATAAATAAAATATTTCTAACAATAATATTTTTAAATGCCACAATAATCACATTTGATGAATTTTAATGCCAATTAAGGCCTTAATTTGAAAAATAATAATTTAATGACTTTTATTATATTTTACTGAATGATTTGCCTAAATCAGACATTAATAAATATTTAGACAAATGATTCTTAACCTTCTCTTATTATTTCTGCGGGAATGATTAGTAGTAGGAACCCTTTAGCTTCATAGGTAGGTTTGGTTTTTAGACAATGGAGCTAATAATTCAAGCTCGTAGATAAGCATAAATGCATATCAAAATTAAAATAGAAAACGGGGACAGTGAGGCGTACATAACAATAAAAGTTGTCTGACTCTACGTTTCATTCATTTTTACATGTTTATTAATATTTAAACCACAAAAATCAAGTGTAAAATCCAGGAATGTTCCTCTGCTCTTTCCTAAGATAAATAAAATGAATCATTCAGTAGTGTTTATTAGTGCCACCTGGTCATTCAGTCTCCTCTGTCTTCTTCCGTCTCCATCTTCTTTTCTTTCTAGCTGACTTCTGCCTGCTCTGTTTTACACTTTTAAGTAGATTTTTCTTCTCTTCAACTGTTCTGTTCTTTCTATTAGTCTTCCTATTTTCCTCCGCTCTCATTCAATCTTCTTTCCATCAGTCTTCTAATCTTCCTCCTCTCATCTTCTATCAATCTAACACTAATCTAAAACAGGGACATATTACAATCAAAATCCCTTCCAAACACATATAATCTCATCATATATATTATGACATTATGCGGAGGAGTAGCCGTGGATGTGGAACAGCTCTCCATGATTAACATGACTGCGCAAGTGCTCCGCATGACGTACTTGAGTGGTGATATAGGATGTGGAATCTGAGGGGTTTAAGATCCACTCGCTCAGGAGGACAGAGTTCGGTGCGTTTATGTCAACCAAAGTCTGTTTTAACACAGAAAAAAAAGTTGTTAGATTTAGCGCTAGTCGCTTTTTTAAAATAAAGGCGCTAGAGGGGTCTGAAAAGGCCCTAAATATGCAGACAAAAGCGCCAAATTGGCAACACTGATTACATGTTCAGAAAGAATCAAAAATCCAAATTGTTAAGCTGAAAACTTTCTCTAAGTTTGCCAGGCCTCTAACCTCTGTTGATCTCCATTTTCAAAAGCTGAGACATCTCCAAAGCTCAGAAAAGCTTTGCCTGGATCTGTAGCTGGGGGGCTAGGTTTGTCCTTTCCTGGTGTTCTGGTTCACCAGGTCAGTGACCCCTGAGTTAAACTTTGGCATGGTGTGGACATGTCCCCACCAATCATTTCCACATTGTCCCCCTTTCCGCTGATTTACTTTAGCCAAAGGTAACAGAGGTTGGGCGCAGCTATCTGTGTTCAGAGCGTTTTGAGTCTGTGTTTTTTTTCCTTCTCTCCCGCTGCTCTTGTGTCCCAAATGCGTCGCATTTCAAAGCTTAGAGAGTAGCTATGTGGTTGAAGGAGAGACACACAGCAGCACTCAGTGAATATTAACCAGCAGCTACTTCGATGTGTAAGTAAAAGGCTGGAGACGGGTTGGTTAAAAAATATAGATGCCACCAAAAAATCAGTTCGTTAGACATACGGAGCTTCTTCAGCTAAAAATGGCAGCAGATTGTAAGTTAATATAAGTTAGTAATATAATACAAGAAGCTTGAGAAAACAGTTTGTTCTTATTTAGTAGTTTAAAAAAGCTGGGCTTCTCAGAGGACCATGACCATTTGCAGACGACACCCAACTGTATGTCAGCACTACGCCCTCCTCACAACTCCCACAAATACAACTTAACAACTGTCTCCTTGATATCAAAACCTGGATGACCAACAACCTTCTGAAACTCAACACCCACAAAACCGAGCTCATGGTGGTGGCCCCAGCACTGCCCCTCAGGAAG